AGTTATTTGCAAAAATAGATAAAAATCTTCACACTGCGAGAAATGGATTGTACTATGCACTAAAAATATACTACAGAGTGTTCAACAATGATTGTAAGGTGTTTGAATTTGGCGCGCTTGACTTTTAGTAACATTTGACAAACAACGTTGGTGCCAGCTGGTGTTTTCGGTATATTTTTAACAATCAGTGGCGTGGTATGTTTTAATTGCTTTCGAGTTAACAAATTTCAACATTTATTATAACAAAATGTGAATAAATATCAATTGGTTTAATACACATTTTTAAATTTTGTTAATTGTAAAAGTTACACATTGATAAATTTTAAACATAAATTTATACCAGCCTTAAAAATTAAACGCAAAAGCGGAAAATTCACACCTCACAATCATTGTTGAACGCTCTGTATAAGGTATAATACTTTACTACGAAAAGTGACAGCGAGACGAGATTGTATTCAGTACAATAAATATAATCAATATAACACAATGAATTGCTGCATGTATAATATTTTTTCTATAATACGATTCGTACAATCTATTTCTTTCAGTGCATGTATCCTTGGTTCGCATTAATCGCTGTTTTTGCAAATATGTAACTCGAAAACGATGACAAATTCGAGAATAATGCAAAACACTAATAGTTATAGAAAATCACAGAGATTTTAAAGGTTATCAGAATGTATGCAGGTAAAAAATAGATACATAGTTACCCTGAATGGTCACCTGTATATCGAAAATGACGTGTTTTTTCACCCGTACCCCCTGAAGTATTTGCACATCATTCATTAACACCCTGTATAGTTTGAATTAGTAACATAAGTAGATAATGTACAACATTATTTTATATGCACATCCTCATCATCATTAGACTCCTAATCACCATTACCTTGGGTTTTACTTTTTTTAGTTTATTTTCGATTATTTGTCACAAGGTCCGAAGATAGATCAGTATTGATGTTGATCCTTGAAGTTTTTCGGGAATAATATTATCTTAATTTTTTATACCCCTTATGGCCTGTCTCAATTATGTTTTCTGATAGTTGACCCACTGGCAAAGGGAAAGATTTTATGATGTCAACTCCATGTATTAATAATTTGTGAACAGTGGCACTCATTTTGTAGCAACCATAAAGCGATTTGTGCTGTTTCAAAGCAATAGTTTTTCAATACATTTTCTTTAACGTAGTGCCCACAAGAAATGATGGAAAGTGTATTTGCAAATTTTTGTATTAATTCTTTATCGATTCCTTTTATTTGGGAAACAAGCAAAGAATTCTTAAAAAATCTCCGCGCTGTGTTTCCGTCGTTACTATTGCCTCCACATTGTTTTGGCCCAATTCTTTATAAAATTCGGCCGCTATTTGATTTTTTTCTTTATCATTTTCGCCCCTTGCTTGCCACTTCTGTAACTCCAATTTATATGCTATAAATTGCTGCTGTCTCATTCTCTTGTACACAGACATGTATTATTGCACATGTACACACCTCCTATGTATTATTGAATATACGTTTTCCATGTTATGCATGTTGTTTAATTGAAAACATTAAATATGATTCATTAGTTCATTACGCGTATTAAGTTTTAGCAAATTCAGGTTTTATACGTGATTAAGGGCTGGTATTTTCACCTACATATCTGTAAACCTTCTATAACTATTTGACAGATCTATCATATTTTTAGCCCTGTTAAACTCCGCAAAATGGTATATGTTTCGGTGGCGCTGTACAGAACGTGAATATAAGGAGTACATGACGCGTTTTGTACAATATCGCCATTATATTTGCTTGATATTTGAAAATAGCAGCCCTAAGTCTTATGCCGTTTGCGCCATAGCGGTTGTGCGTTAAACTGCTTTGGGTCTACGAGTGTGTTACGCCTATATCCTTAGCCACACCAGCGTGCGCTTCTACGGCAACGGTGGCGCAATTGAGTTAACTCATTTTAAAGTTGGGTATCAGCGCACGTAACACACTGTATTGAGTTAACTCAATTGCGCCGCGCAGCACAGTGTTACACATCTCTAATTAGTAGTGACACGATCGTACATAAAATGATCGAATTCGCATATTCTGAATTATTGGCGAAATTTTGTTTGTAAATATTGTGTCCACCGCTGCCATCTAAGCCCCATTTATAATAAACTTCGATAGTATCACAGTCCTCCGAAATGTTTTGAACTATTACATCAGCCTGCACTTGTGCTAAACGTTGCGTAGTATGTATAAGACGATCTATCACTGGCACCACAACCGCGTTCTCAGTTATCATAATATTTGTTGAATAACACTTCCTCTTTGTCTCTGTGATCACATGATATGAGAGATAAAAAAGTCCCTCTTTCTTTTGCTTCAAGTCACATCGTTGTATAATCCTCTTTTGTCAACTCAAGATCCACTATAAGAGAGAGCTTCTTCTTTCTGTTGGGTCTTATATTAGCAGAGGATGACGTATCATGCACCTTTTTCATTTTTGTTAATGTGTTGGGCGAAGATTGTATTGCTAATTTCACAACCTAGGCTGCAGTTCTTTTGCCTGATTTCACCAAGCTTGATTCTGCAGCCAAGCACAGTGTTTCTGTATAGAGATTTGACACAATTGGTTCACATGTCGTTGCTTACTGCGTTCAGAATTCTTTTCGAATAAGTTTCTTGGCCTGTCTCGCCTCTTTTGCTTTGAACATTTTGGTGCTGTTGCTGCAAGCTCTGATAGCCATTTCATATGCTTGTTGTTAAAACGCTCATACATGTAATTACAACCTTGCCATTTCGTCAAAAACACTTTGACCACAAGTTTTATTTGTTTTGTACAATTTTCAGAAAGTTCACTAACGCTAAAATTCTCCAATATACAGGGTGTATCAGGTATAAGTAGAAAAAATTTTAGGGGTTATAGGTCCCCTTTTTGTGAATAAAAAATTCTTATAACACAACGTCCCATTCTTTGCCATTCTTAAGATATGATGCGATAATGTTAAAGGTTTGAATGTTTAAGTACTGCTGTATAATTATACTTAGCTATAGGCTTTGCTTATGTATATAGCTATAATTTGACGCATAAAAGTAATTTTTGAGATATTTTTTTAGAAGTTGTTTACTTTATACGGATAAATTTATCACTTCTGTTTTATCACTCTTTAATCTGAAAATTTACAAAAATTTAGGTTTTAATAAATAAACTTGCTTGTTGTATTAAAAACAACAAAATTACAAAACTAGAAACAAATTACAAATTGCAAAGAAAAGCCTGCTTAGTATAATTCATTAAACTGTAGTACTCAAACATGTAAACCCTTCACTTTATCATATCTTAGGAAGGACAAAGAATGGGATATTGTGTTATAAGAATTTTTTATTCAGAAAGAGGAGCCCCTATAACCCCTCAATTTTTTTCTACTTATACCTGATACACCCTGTATACTATAATAATTATTCATTACACTTTAATAACGACAACTTATAAAACTGTTTATTTATTAACACTATAAATAGTTCTTTTCTCTTAATCTTTATTTTCATTACAGCGGGGTCGCCATGACAACCTGAAAAATACCCTATTTTATTTTTTTATGTTATTTATAAGATATTTTTGATTTGCGTTGTGGCTTAAGGTTTTTGAAAATCGCTGGGAAGAAATTATCGGCTAACCCAGATGCAGTAAAACCTTTTAAAGAGGATCTAAAACGTCTGATTCAAGAGCATGACCTAAAGCGGCATTAGATTTATAAAGCTGATGAGACAGGATTGTATTGCCTAACAAAACTTATGTATCATTAGCAGAAAAAACTACTCCTAGATTAAAAATGTCGAAGAAACGACTCACGTTTGATTATCTGCCATTTGTTTAATAAGGCTGATTATGTTTCAAAATTATATTACATGATTTGTAGGCGACATGAACATTTTTATCTCCTAAATGTTACGTCTTTAGAAACATCCTCTCAGATTTTAATCAACATAATGAGGATGCAGTCGAAGATAACATTCAGCTAAGTATATTAAGGGAAAAATTAAGTTGTGAAAACACTTTGGTCCTTGATGCTATTAGGTATACAATAAATTTACTACAGGAAGTAGCTCCACTAAGTTAATGCATAAGTGGTTTTAGAAGTCGATAGTAAAATCATAAATAGCATATTTTAGATGTTAATCAAAAATCTGTATTACAGCTTAAACGATGTTTTATTTTAAATGTTTTTTAGTATCGGTTGTACACGTGTTTCGCCTAAATAGGCATCTACAGGCACGATGTCAGTACAGCTACAGATTCATTCCTATTTAGGCGAAACACGTGTAGCACCGATACTGAAAAACATTTAAAATAAAACATCGTTTAAGCTGTAATACAGATTTTTGATTAACATTTAAAACTGAAACGATGAAACTGGAACAAACCTTAGCTTTAGCATATTTTAGGGTGACAATACATTTGGACAAGGATGAGGCAGTAGAAAATGAGTGCACTGAAAAAAAATTTGCCATTTGTGAAGATCGATACTGCTAAGAGAGAGAAAGAGATGAAGAAGAGAGAGAGTAGGGAGTGGGAAGGACGGTTAAGGGCATTAGTTTAGTAAGAGAGTCAGAGTTGAGTTAGAGAGCCGAATGTGTGAGGCGTTGGAAGTTATTTCGTTTGTTATAAATTGATGACTTGTAGTTTATTGAGAATATTGTTAATAAAGTGATATCTAACACATTCTCTAAAGCATTTAATGTTGCTGTAGAATGGTCAAATCAAAATTCCATAAATATAAGTGAAATCATCACCTTGAAAACAATTCAAGGAAAAGCAGTTATGGCCAAAATTGCTCAAAAAAATATTCAGAAAAAAATTAAAGATTTTTTAAGTCTTAGAAATGTTCATGAATATAACTGATTTAGGTTTAAGTAATAAACTTAATTAAGTTAATTACACCCTCTGTAGTTTTGTGTTCACACTATCGCGAGTGTATTGTAATTAAATTGGAAAGCTATTAAAATTTAATAATAAATTAAACAAACCTTACCCTTAAACTATATTTCCAACTTTCTCCCACCTCATCATGAACGAAATTTTCTGGATCACTATCCCAAGTTGTTAATTCATCTTGTGTTAAAGGAAAATAATGGGTAACCAATTTCCTGCAGATTTCTGTTAAAGTATTTGGTTGGAAGAAGGCCATTTTAATTTGATAAGCTCGTACGGTCTCAGGATCTTTTGTCAAATCAATAACTTTCGCGGGACGATATTCCGTACATAACAAAATACCTTTGATCAAATTAAAACATTGAATGACGAATCGCTCAAAAATAAATTCGTGTCCGGCTGGTGTAAAAGCATAATAAACGGCTAATTCAAGAGTTGGTTGAATAAAATCGACGAAAGCAAATGGGCGAACATCTAACGTTGATAATAAAACTTTTGTGAGGTGTACAATGAACTTTTCAGTTAATTCGAGTAAATATTGATGATTTTTATTTCGTATTTGGCGTAAACATTCCAAGGAGGTTTTAATTCGTTCGAAAATTATTTTAAAAAAGTTCATACAATCCGTGCTCTTTTGTGGTTGATAAAATCCATGTAATGATAGTTTTCGTAATATTCTCAAAGATAACAACGCTTTTTCCAAGTTTACAACTAACACGTCGTTACTACTATTTTGTGCGACATTTTGAAAAAACATTTCTGTAAAACCGTTCCATAAATTTACTACAAACGAGAAAATACTAGCTGCAAAATCTTGAAAAAGTCTTCTATCTCCTGCCAATCGTTTCGAACATAAAGCTTTTATAACATTGTGCAACGTTAGCAAACCCCTGTGTTGTACCAAACTATTATTACTCTCAACTACTTGCATCAACGTTGGAAGAAGTTCATTCCATTCTTTTGGGCAGTCCGTTCGAGCTATTTTAGCTATTAATACCGCTTTTTGTGTTGCTATTTGATTGACAGGTTCATTGAAACTAGATAAAAGTGAACGCTTCAAACTTTGCTTTTCCTCCTCGGAAATAGCACTAAAACATAATTTATTTGAAAAAGTGAGGTTATATTCGAAAAATATTTTAATTTTAATATTACTTTGGTGCAGTTTTTCTCCAGTATTTATCCACACCATTTTTAAAACATAAAACTGCTATCCATCTTACATTAACATCTATGTTCAAATTAGATATGATATTCTAAAATATAAGAAAAACAACATAACCTCAAAATAAATTAATTCTTTTCATTTCTGATCTCAAATGAATAATATTAAAAATAACTTACCGATAAGACTGTGTAAAAACCCCTTTGGGTTTCCCATTCTAATAATTTCGCCTCGGCAGGTTTTAAAATTTCGGGATTTTGGCTGGAAGCCCGATTAAGGACATCCAAAACCATTTGTTCGGTGGTCATAGTTTCCATTTTTCCTCCAGGTATCTCCTTCGGGTGCGTTTCAAAGAACTCGATAGCTCATATCTTTTAAAAATTAATTACTTTGATTTGAGGTAAGCAACGATTCCACTCGAAAAGCTGGATGCAAAATGAGTTTTAGGTTATGTTATCTGTCAATTCGCATGTCAAGATATTAAATTGAAACGAAAATACCTAAAAACAACTATCACTTTGTTTATTAAGCTGCAATTGATTCACAAACGTCAATTTTAACGAAATTACTTTTTTTTTATAAATAAACTAAGATGAATAATGAATTTTGAAGAAATTAAAAAAAACTTTCAAAAATACCGCTACTAATTTCATGTTGTACTTGATATATACATTTTAAAGTCAATAATAAAATTAAAATGTTAATAAATTTAAAATTTTAGATTTATTAATGAATTTTTTGATTGGTTTGGAATTAAGGATTTTTTATATATGTATAAATAAATTGGAAATTTATTAATTTAAACGGTATGTGTATATTTACGACTATCTTCACTCACCAAATTTAAATTTGAATGTCATTATTAAATCAAAAAAAAAACTTGAAATTAACTTTTATTAAACTTATACAACAATTAAAGGTTTATCAACAAATTTGAATTTACTTATATCTAAAGTACAATTTCTTAATTCTAATTTCTTCTACAAGTTTAGTGAAAAGTGGTGTTGTTGAATTTTGTTGTTCAAAAAGGTATCTCTTTGATAAATGGTTATTAGGTGTATTTATTACAGATCGATACTG